TATATATATGAAATATCCCTCATTCAACTCAGTTTTAGTGTAATTGAGAGGAATTAATCTTTCTACATGATTTCTAGCACACCTTGTGCTTTTTGGGTGTGGTGGTTGGGATTTTTTAATGGTTGGTTGGTTGGTTTGGGGTTTTTTGGGCGGAAGGCATTTGTGTTAAATGGGGTCTTTCCGTAATCCTGAAGAAATGAATACTCACTTTGAATCAATTTAATGCATTTCTCTGTTTCTCTTTTACCTGACACTAGTACTGACCTCTCTTTAAATGCTTAAGTCCATCTATTAGCACTGCCTAGCGGTGTGCAGTGCCAGTCTGTGGAACTGTAGCTTTAAAACTCCCTCATCCACACTGTAGCTGCCCCTGGCCTGCTTTCTTAAGAACTCACAGTAATTTGCCTTGGGCACTGTACCAGGCAACTGATTTCCTGTTGAAAGTGAGGTTACAAAACTGATTTCTGTTAACAGTGCATATAAGCTGCCACAGCAGAAGTGTCATTTAGGCGATGCTTTACATCAGTGAAACTTATTCCTATATACTTCAATATTTTCCTCCTTCCAAGCTAAACTTTCAAGTACCAATACAGTTTGTAAAATTCATAGTGTTCTACTCATGATAGATATTTTTAAATGACTTTGCATTCTGATTATATATGTTCCTTAATAGACATGACACAGCTATCTTGGCACTGAAGAAATCTACAGAAGATGGCTCAAAGTGGCAAAACTTGGACTTGAGAGGAACTAGAATTTCAGTCCATGAGAGCAATTTTCCATTACCCATGTTGTAGTTTTGGTATTGTGGTCAATAAAGAATGGTCTCCCATTGGGTGCATGTCGGACTTCCCAGCCTTTAGGGAGAAATCCTTGCTCCACTTCAGGCTGCTGCTGAGAAGACTGTTGCGATGAATCACTTGGTGTTGCTTGTGGTTGTCTTCCCACAGAAGTACTTTGTGCAGCTGACAACTGACCTGTTTCCATAGTGATCTACGGTAAATGACCAAAAGGGAGGGGAAAAAAATAAATTAAAAAAAAAAAATCAAAGCCCTGCAGAGCAATATACTTTTTTTTATTACCCTATATTTTTGACTCATGAAAGCTGTTTCATGAAGCAAGTGCCAGACAGTACACAGATTTGTTTAGTCTAATATCAACAACACTGTCTAACAATCACCAATGATGCTACCAAGAAATCTTTCAGGCTTCTCAATCAGCTACTACTCTCCGGAAGGCTTTCTTGGTACATTAATAGTAAGGTGACTTGCCATAAATATTACTGCATTCTCTCAGGTATTTTATGTAGTGCTTTACCAATTCATGCCTTTCACATGTTCTATTTCAAAGGGGTCTCTAACTCTACTTCTATCACGCGAGATGTTTAAAAGGTTAAATGACTGAAAACATGAATAAACTCGCAGACAGACAGTACCTGTACAACTGGCTTTATCCAGGTAGTGGTTCTGGAATTGTGATCTATATAATATGACCTCCCTTTTTCATCTTGTCTTTCTTCCCAGCCTGGGGGTAACCCCGATGAAGTAGGCAGTAACTAAATATTAGTGACAATAGAAGAAAAACAGTTAAGACAACTATGAAACTGGCTGTGAAAAGGCTTTCCTCTGTCAAATTATAACAATAAAACTATAATCCAGAAGATTCATGATTTTTGCAAACTGGATAAAATAGAAAAACAGTATTTAAGTCCTTAATGAATAGTATGAAGTAACAGATTTTTTTAAAAATATTATTTTATTTTTAATTCAAGCTCCTCATCTAAAAGGATTCAATGATGTACCTGGTTTAGGCATGGCTGATCCACCCTAGTACCTCTGGCTATGAGCTCATAGTTTGCAGTGTCACCATGAAAATATAATGTAAGCATGGTGGTACAGCTTTTAATTATAAAGCAAATAACTTGAGAAAACAAAACTCCCATCTCCATGGCAAGACTACTTCCTTCGGCAGGCTCTATCCATGCATCAAGCTAATGTTAAACCAAAACCACAAAATTGACACATCAAAGTTTTACAACTGAACTTCAATTTTGCCAGACTCATAATTGCAATTTTGTCAGGACAGCTGTCAGAAGCAGAAGACCAAATCTCATTTAAAATGTCAGCACATAATATACAGTTAAAAAAAAAAGTTTTACATGAAGAAAATCCTTCAACTTCCCTGCTCCACAAGTCTGATGTTTTTTGGAAAATGACATACCACTGGATGTGCCGGCTGCTCTTCAACTCTGTATGTTTGCAAACTACCTCTTCTGCTGGAATGGTTCTTGAAGTAGTGAAGAAGAATGACATATTAGCTATTATTGCAGCTTTAAGGAAGGCAGCAAAGTCAACAATGGTTATCACACTTTAAACTATTACAGTTTTCATCTGGAACAAAGTCTTACTTGTTTTGGAATATTGACTTAACACAGTATTTTTGAAACTTTTTTTTTAACACTGCTACAAACATTAAGTTCACAGTGTCTATTATAACCTTAAAACACAGTAACACAGACGCTGTGAAAGTTTTAAAACCTAACAATAGATGTTTTGGCACGTAAAACATTTGAGTTAATTGCAACCAGTTACTTTACAATTGAATTTACAGTATAGAACTTCCTGTGTTTTGTCAGCAGACTAAAGCCTGTGATGTACCAGAGCTGACAACTTTTCAGAGAATAGATTCAGTTAATAATGACAAGATACGAGAGTCTGAGACATCCAGTTTGAGAAGAGTAATTCAATCCCTGGATTTTGCGTAAGCACCCACCTTTCTGTCTAGAGCCATATTTAGATTTCATCTGCTACAATTAAGTAACCCTATTTCATGTTGCTTCAGAATCTCCCTGATTATTTGAAGGATTTTTCCCTATCTACATACCCATTTAGAATACTTCACAGGAAGAGCATGATTAAGTTCTCAAATTTATTTTTTTGGGGGTGACGGAGGTGAAGGGAGGCAAGACTGTCATTCTAGCTGGCTCTTACAAATAATTTGAACATCGGCCTCTTCCTTTGCTTAACTAGGCCACCCAAGCAAGCTGAAATAACAGTTTTCTTGCTACCCATAGGATTCTGAATAGCATGAAGGGCCTGGAGCACAGGTTTTATGAGGAGCAGCTGAGCGAACTGGGGCTGTTCAGCCTGGAGAAGAGGAGGCTGAGGGGAGACCTTATCGCTCTCTACAACTGCCTGAAAAGAGGCTGTAGCAAGGTGGGGGGTCAGTCTCTTCTCCCAAGTAACAAGCGATAGGACAAGAGGAAATGGCCTCAAGGGGAGGTTTACATTGGACATTAGGAAAAATTTCTTTACTGAAAGAGCTGTCAAACATTGCAACAGGCTGCCCAGGGAGGTGGTGGAGTCATTGTCCCTGGAGGTGTTCAAAAAATGTGTAGATGTGGCACTTGTAGACATGGTTTAGTGGGCACAGTGGTATTAGGTCAACAGTTGGACTCGATCTCAGAATCGCTAGGTTGGAAAAGACCACTATACTCTCACTTTGTCATTCCAAAAGTAAATTTGGAATTGACTATGTTTTTCTAAGTTCGTACAAAGGCATCACTACTGCTGCTGGAAACAGCATTCTCAGCATCACAAAAGCTAATGATTTTACTTAAATACCAAAATCTTACAGACTAGACAGTCCGGATCACCTCTACAGACCTTCCTCAATGGACAGTGGATTTCTCAAGTCACGTATCAGGTTACAAGGCTGTTTCTGGAGCTTGGGTTTCACAAGACAGCTGAGCTTATTTAATTGCCTGCTACCACCAAAAAGACATGTCTCACTACTGGCTACGTACTCGTGCTGTATGTACTATGTACCCTTTACCACTATAGCATTTGTCACACAACCTAGCATGCTGTTTCAGCTTGCTAAACCTGCAAAAACACAGAACTGAAGGAAAAGAGAATAGTCTTCTGCTGGGTTAGCAAGCTGAGCAAACTCACCGAGATGTCCGACAAGTTTGTATAAGCGAAGACCCTTTTTCACTGCTATGGAGTCACCAGGTTTCCTCAGCCCAATCATAAAACTTTACCCCAATATTCACAATGAAAAACAAATTATCTGAAAACTCTTCTTAGTGGAAAAGAGTAACCAATATAGCACAACTGCCTTTGAAATAAGTTTTCAGGATATAAACAGCTTCCTTCCTCTGTAGTTTTCAACAGTACTCAGTATGACACTAGAATAAGAGGCAGATTTACAGACTGAAAAAAATAACTCATGTAAGTCTGTATTAATCTTAGACAGAAATGCACATAAGCAAAGCAGGGAGAATAAAATGTTTGCTTAGCTGGGGTTCTATAGTAAAAAAGATGATTCTTAAATTCTCTGCATTCAAGACGAAATTAAAAATATAATTGTTAAATTAAGTATTTATTGATCTAATTCTATCAGTAGTAACATTTTTGTGCAAAATATTATAGATATTTCTGTACATTAGCACAATGAGAAAAATAATTTACAGTGTAGGCTGCTGACTGGCCAGTAGCTGAACTTCCAGAGGTAGTAAGTCTGGTATTTAATTCTTCTGCAAGATGAGTTTGTAGATCACAATTACTCTGTGAAAGAGGTATTTGAAGGTTCTGATTGCTATACGTTGTTGCCTCATCTTCTGTTATAATTTCCCAGCTCTTTAAGAAAATAAAGAAAAAACAGTTTAACTATGTAGTTCCAAGTTACAAATAGTTAAGACAAGCTTTTTGACTAGATTAAAATTTACTTGTGTTTCAGAAGCATTTAGAGATTGTTTTTACCTCAGGGGAATCTCTGTTGTCTAGATTTTCTGTATCCTCTGATATCTGTCGCCGATGAGTGAACACGTGCTGGGCCTCCAACTGCACACTACCAATATCTGCAACAGCTACGTTGTCCCTATTGGGGGGAAGTCAGCATACAGTAGCCATAGTTTATTTTTCAACAGTAAGCTAGGCTAACAGCAAAAACATACATTATAGTCATTTTGGCAGAAGAAAAAGAAACAGTCATGAGCTATAAAAATAGATGTAAATGGCTTAAAAAGAATAAGCATTCTTGTCCACAGGAAGTGTACGTTACACTAAAGAACAAGATAGCATTCCAGGGATTACTGTAATTCACGTGCTACGGGGAAAAAAAATACAACCCTGAAAAAACGCAAGGTAAATAATTTAATGCAGTCCCTGCTGAGAAGGAGGAACCAGGCTTAGGGCTGGAAAGTAATTCCCTTTCCAGTACTGTAGTTGTTATCTCTTCCAGCTGTAATCGATTGCTATTGGAATGCATACTTCCAGTGACCGTTACACACGGGCTTGAACGTTAAGCTAGGGAAATCTCTCTACTAATTCTCAAGCTGTTCACTTTCTACTTCTCCTTGCTTTCAACGTAACTAGAGTGAATTAGTTACACTAGTTAATGTAAGACTTGAATTTTCAGGCCAAAAAACATACTGAGCAGTTGGTCTTTTCCACTGTGTTCTTCTGAATTCGTGATTGACATAGTAGGTCCTGCCGAGGATATCTTGCCTTTCTTCCCGGCCTGAAGGCAGCGGAGGAGATTCCTGCTGCTGCTGTTGCGGCTGGCTAGCAGCATCTGGTTGATCCAATATAATCCACCCAGGCTAAGAGACATATTAACCACCTTTAATATTACCAAAGTTGAAGAACTATCTCAATTTATTAAACCACCCGCCTTTTTAAGGTGCAGTTCCACTACATCTTAAGCCAGTAAGATTGGCTTTGGGGTTTATCCTGTATATTTATCAATAAATGACAGGACAGATTATGCATGCAGAAATCTTATTTAGAACTCAAGTTCCTCAAACATATTAGCGTCAAAAGATGTGTATTCCAGGAAAATAAACAGCATTCATAGAACAGATTAAAAAAGTAAACGGATTTTATTTCATACCTATGCTGCAAATGTACTAGTCAGATGAGCACATCACTTTGTAACAAAGTTTAATTACAGCAAATGTGGTAATGCTGATTAGAGTTGTTTAAGTCTTGAAAAGAAATCCATTGATCTAAGTTGGATTTCCTTACAAAAGATGGCAAATGTAAAGCAGCTAAGATCAAAGTATCCCTATAAAATAGGAGAGCATTGAAATTCTAAAGCCAGCAAGATGTCAGTGGCTGGCTGGGGTCAAACAGTGTTAAACAGCAGTAAAAATACTTGGCAATGATACTTCCATTAATTGTAAACCAAGAAAAGTTACACAGACATATGCCAAGCGAGTACCAGAACAAAACCAAAAGCCTAATGTATGTTCTCTTTTTCAGATACACTGACAAAGCCACACCTTTAGTTGGAAAAATTCTCCAGAATTTTTATGCGGACTTACAACTTTTATGTAAGATAAAAGCAATTGCTTGTAACTGGATTGTTTCTAAAACACAATTTACAGTTTAGTGATTCCTAGCATTCATTTTTACTATAACTACACCTAATAGCTGAAGACATTTGGTAGGTTTTTCAGCAATAAACACATCTTTTCCCACCTCTAATTCTTCAGCCTGTTCCGTGGTTTCTTCTTCAGACCCATTGCTTTTAGGCAAGTAAGTCATTTTTAATCTAAGGTGGCCTTTAACTCTCGATTTATGGCTGTGGAAGAGAAAATAAAATGTTCTTGTTGTGCACTTGTGAAATTGTCACTGGGAAATAAAATAGCTGAAAAAGCACAGTGAGAGGATTACTCTTAACTGTCTCAACACAACCTTTGCTTTTTATAGATTAAATTAATGAAGTTCTATAATGGTATTGAGTTTTTAAGACTTCTGAATACACCTTGATATTATGCACCACAACTGGAAACCTTTCTTTCCAACTCACTCTTCTGAAAACTTCCCTAGCAACCAATGCATAACAATAAAGGACAAGAAAATAAAAATAATGACAATTTAATTAATATAATTTTAATAATTTGACTGTGTGTAGACACTTCAAACATTAATTCAACCTACAGCACTACTTCTCCTAAAACTTTAAGTTACAGCAAACTTATATACTTCAGCATCTGCCTCTGTATTTAGCTTAATGCATCACTAGAAGCTTGAAAATAGTACTTCCCCATATTGATTTTATTTAATAACTTCACTTGGTAAAGAAATCTGCCAAATTATCTCATCTATTTGGCTACTGATATTGAAAAAAAAAAAGAAAATAAATGTGCTGAAAATATCACTAGTGAGTCAACTGCATAGCTACCCATCATCTTATTAAAATAAAGACAAAACAACCCCACCCAAGCCCCCACATCACTAAGGTGTAATGTCTTTTTTTTTTGCCATGCAGAAAGAAGTTAGATTTTCCAACATCCAGAAAAACACTTCATGCTGGATTTTAAACATGTTCATTCAGATCGTATTTTGGTTTCAGAAAATCCCACATCCCTTTGAAAGGGGAAGTAACCAACTATCTTACTCTCCAATACAATCGTTAGAGTAATTAATTTCACAGTATTAACATTTTAATAATTCGTACTCAGCTTGAGGTATTGGGAGGGTAGTAACATTATTATTACTGTTCCTGCCTAAGTAATGCAAAAATGAGCAAAACTGAAGAATGTGCATTAAAAACACTAAAGCATCTCAGAGTTACATTAAGATTTCAAGGCAGAAAAAGTGCCCGAAACCTGTGGCATCATCTTTTACTACAAAGCAGGGACAAATTCATTTGGTAGTTGTGCCATGAAGAGGTTAGGATCCTTGACTAACAAACAACACCTGAAGTTAATTTATGTAGAGACAATAAATATTATCTCCATTCATTTATAGGATAGCAAATGTTACATTCAGAAAAGCAGGAGATGAAACAAAACTTGACAGTCACGAACTCTGTTAAAACCACTGAGCTGCAAAAAATTCAAGAAGTGTAAAATACTTAAAAAATGCTTCTGCTACCAACATGGCTGAGAAAGATCTATAGATCCCCCATGTTATGATGTTATTTCTAAATCTGTAGATCCTACACGTTCTGATCTTATTTCTAAGCTGGAACCTACTATCTGAAAAATTTTGACATGCATTTTATCTATTTTATTTCTAATAAAACTTGCTCAAAACTGCTCAGATTTAGGATAAGTATCTACATTTTAAAAACAAACACAAAACACATAATACTAACATCAGCGTCAAAGTGTTACCTACCATTTAAAAATTCCTCTTTTTTTAACACAGGCCTTCCTAGATGGAAAAGCTGCTTAACATTTAAGTTTTGTTACATTTATAATTGAGGTCACATGAAACCGCTTACATGAAACAGGCAAACAAGAGAGACAGGAAGGCAGGAAACTATGTCAAGTTGAAAAGGGATAAATGAGTTATGGCATAACATTGGTCACTGATTTCACTGTTCAGCAAAATAGTAATTGTTCAGATGAAGTTATAATATGAATTATACTATGGCCTGAAGATAAATGGTTTATTCTTATGAAATAATCTGTAAGTATTTAAACAAATGCTGACTTTTTAGAACCACAAATATCTGACTCCATTGATGCTCAAATTTCTTTGATGAAAACATAAATTTAGACATTATTTACGTATCACACAATCACAGAATGTCAGGGGTTGGAAGGGACCTCGAAAGATCATCCAGTCCAACACCCCTGCCAGAGCAGGACCACCCAGAGCAGGTCGCACAGGACCGTGTCCAGGCGGGTTTTGAATGTCTCCAGAGAAGGAGACTCCACCACGTCTCTGGGCAGCCTGTTCCAGGGCTCTGTCACCCTCACAGCGAAAAAGCTTTTCCTTATGTTCAGGTGGAACCTCCTGTGCTCCAGCTTGCACCCGTTGCCCTTGTCCTGTCACTGGACATCACCGAAAAGAGCCCATCTCCCTCCTCCTGACACTCGCCCTTTACATATTTATAAACATTGATGAGGTCACCCCTCAGTCTCCTCTTCTCTGTTTAGACACGAAAGTTAGTATTTTTATGTGGTATTTACTAACCTTCTTGGATGAAGAACAAAATCCTTAAATGTATACGGTCTCTCCATACTTGGGTTTTCTGTCTGGAATAAGACAAGTTTTTTCAAGAAAAGTCTGTACCAAACACTTGAAGTTAAAGAAAATCATCAGAAATTTACAATTAATTTCTTTAAATGCCATATAACATTTTAAAATTTAAAATTACAGGTTTAGGTACAGTAATAGCAATACCAGCTTTAATCTCAGTAATAGGACTAATTCCCTGGTTCAAGAAAAAAATTACCTTTCAGTGTATACATACACTACAGTTTGCAAAGCACAGGAAAAAAAAAATCTTTCACCTGAAATCAAGAAACAGAGTCTCCATTTTCACATTTAAAAGATCTACCATAACTCCTCTTCCTCAGTGTTTTTCAAATATTTCTACCCAGAACGTACACAAAAAGCCATTTCTAGCTTTAGGACTTGGGGATAACAAATCATCACAGAAGAATCCATTCTGAGAACATCTCTGTTCAGATTCACAGAAGTGAAGTTTCTCAACAGAAAGAAGCACAGAGGTAAACAAACAGACATCATTTTATAAATACACATCCCAGGCATAGGTAGAGAAATACACATGAGGGATCATTAAAGAAACAAAGGTGTTTCTTTTTCTGGTTAACATTCAGTATTTACAATCCATCTGAAGTTCTGCAATTCTTACAAAAACATTCGATTTTTACACCACCACATTGTTTAGGAACATTTGTAAATGTCTAAGTTGCTCCCCGCTCCCCATGTCCGTCCGTCGTCGCCCCCCCCCCCCCTTTTTCAGCTCTTTATAAGTTCTGGGGAGTAACTTTAGGCTCCTGTTAATCAACACATTTTAACCATTTCAAGAAGTACTATATAACAGGAGGAAAAACTTGCCATTGCTACATTTGTAGGCCTCTTAATTAAGAACAGTGGTACACGATGCAATTCTTGAAGGCTGATCTAATTCCATAATAGTATTTTCAAAAATTATATAATGTGTGTCAATATTTGATTGGAAAGAAACAAAAAATCCAGAATTTAAAGGATAGACATTATTAAGTTAGATATTTTAGAATTTTGTTTGGAACTGTTGAGCTTTGTTATGAAAAAGTCCTAAGATGAAGCTGATTAAATTTTACTGAATGTGACAACTATTACACTAAATCTCAGAAAGAAAAATGATCTCTTATATTTCAGATATTTCAGCGTAAGCTCTTACTAATACAATTTAGAAATACTACATTCAAGTTGAAGTGTTCCACCTTCACTGAATTAAAATGCAGATCTGTAATGATATGTGTTACACTGGTGTTATCTGCAAGATCACGTTCTATACTTATAAAATTAGTAGTCTTACAACTAAGGTAAATACTTCTTTGAAATTAAAATGGAATGAAGCTTGGATTTTGGTTTTGTGGGGTTTGGGGTGTCTACGTCCCCAAACATTACATTATTTCTACCAACACACACTAAGACACTGTGGAAATATATCACAGAAGAGAGAAAAAGAAAAATATTATCTTCTTAATCTCTTATAATTATTTTTCTGACTTTCCAAAAATAACAGTTGCCTTAGATTCCACTTGGATTAATACATTTTGACTTTGGAAAGAGCAAATTCCTATCTGCCAACTATCTTACCTTGCCGACGGTCTGCCCTTTTTACATGTCCCTGATCACCAGCTCGTTTTAGTTACGAACAGTCTGCATTTGCATAGTATCCAGCAAAGCTAAAATTGCATGCAATAAAGAATTTATAAACGGATTTTATTTATTGAAGATATATTTACTTATGTAAATGAAAGACTTTCAAAAAAATCCACCTATATTTGGGCCAATGAAGTACAATGGGTTTAGATGGCAAGACCAATTAAGAACAAGGAACTGGGAAGACTGAAACAAAGCCAAGACAGGCAAAAGTCGACCTTTGAGGAAGGTAAGAAAGTAGCACTGAAAATACTGAAGTGAGACTCTATAAATCAGTTCATGCTAAAAAAAAAAAAAAAAAAAAAAAAAAAAAAGAGAGAAATGCACCAGTATCTCCGGAAGACTCCAGATACTGCTGTCCAGCTTATTAGTGGGAAGTGAAAACACAGTCTTCTCTAGAGGGACATTACAGCCAGCCTTTCCAACCCCCCCGACTGAGGAAGAGGAGTTACCCACATCCCAGCTCCAGTGGGAAATGGGACATGTCTATAACTACTCCTGACACAGTTCTTAGCACAAGGAAAGAACAACTGCTCTTGGAAACATGTTGCCATGGTTGTTATCCTGTCTTTAAAACAGTTCCTGATAAATCTGTGACTATTTGCTAATGTTTTGAGACCTCAGAAGAAAATGAAAAGGCTTATTATTTCAATGCTCTTGGTGATATTTCTTTAAAACTAACAATATGCTTTGCAAAAGGAAACAAAAAAAAAACCACACCCAAAAAACCCCAAACCTACAAACCAACACTAGCTCTATTTCCCACTTACCCTCTTCTGTATCTGTTCATGGGAATAAGGAATATAAAAAGTAAATGTGTAGATTTTAAAGAAAGTATTTCAAGAAATACAGTAACAATTACAATCTCTTAAGACTGTTTCAAATCTTGCACTTTTACTCTTGAAAAAGCTAAAAGCACTCCTAACACTCATAGCAGCAGAAGCCAATATCTAAACACAAGGTAACCTAAATTTTTTTTTATAAATATCATAAATAAATATAAATAAATAGCACTAAAAATGCCTAAAAAATTCACAAAAGAAAAACAAACAAAAAACCCACAGAGGAGGAGAGTTTAATCACTTATATTATCGGTACTATTAAATTCCTTAGATGACTAATACAGGTGTATACAGGTTCATTTTTCCCTTTTACAGTCTTAAAACAAAAACAAACAAAAAATACAAACCGGTAACTGATAAAGAGGAATATCCACTTGCCCAAGAAAATCATCTCGAGTCTACAGAAAATAAAAACAAACAAAAAACAAAGAAAGTTTAAAGTTGCAAAGTGTTTTAAAAACATTGTTCCAAGCCCTGATAGCACAGTAATGCTTGAAGGTACTCTTAAATTATAGACAATGAAACAACAAAACAAGTTCCGATTCACCCAACACTCAGCGCCTTGGACAGTTCTGCCTTCCTCAGAATAAATGAAGTTTGAGAGAGCTGGGGGTGGAGATTTAGATTGGTTTTTAATCATAAAGACTAATGCTAATCAAACAGGACAGAGCTGTTCAGCAGCAGGACTGAGGTCTTCAGCATCTCCAGTCATCATCAATGGGCAAAGAGTAAAGACACTTTTTCCCTTAGCTGTTTCAGCAAAATAATTGCCTCGGTATATCCTTAAGCAACTAAACATTCATCGCAGATTAACAGAGAACTAAAGACCTTCCTCGCAGGAGGACCTGACAGTTTCTGTAAGCCTAGGCAGCTGTTCAAAACAAGCATATATATACACATTTTTTTCTTTTCAGAAAAATACAGCTACTGTCAAAAATAAGACAAAGCAAAAATAAGTTTCATCTGTGAGAAGTGCCTTGGAAGTTCCAGCAATTCCAGCGGTCCCAAGCCTGGCAGCAGGAGCTTCGTGTCTGGCATTTCCCCTATCCCTGCCCGACATTCCTGTTGACATCTGAAAGTGTGCTAAAATTCCTTATATCTATGAAAAATTACCATTTGCCTACACACATTATGGAGCTCAGCTTTAACACCTAAAATCTGAAAGATTCTACCATAGAGTGCAGCAACTCTGCAGCCCGATTCCCTCCAGCCTACAGCAGTATCAGGGGAGGGACTGACCAGACATGGTATTGTTGCACAGTTTACTTTCAATCACTGATTTTTACCTACTGAAGAAATTAAGGTTTTAGTAATTTATACAGGTAATTTCAGTATTTGCTAATAATCACTGCCAACAGTGAAAGTACTTTGACTTCCTGCTTTGGCAGGGGGCTGGACTAGATGATCTCCAGAGGTCCCTTACAACCCCTGCCGTTCTGTGATTCTGTGACTTCTTACTGGATTATTGGAGCATATGCTGAGTTGTTTCAAGTTCATTTGTGATTTGAAAGCCTTTGCGAACCTCCACAAAAGCAGGAAAATGTATTATATGGGTCATTTAACACAAAGACATAGCACCGCCTGTGCGCTCAAACCAAAAAGGCATGAAATTTTTAAATGGTATGTATAAGCCCATGGCATTTTTCAAAAATCTACACTTTAACAAGACCACATTTTTTTTGCATAGACAGAGTAAGGGACTGTGAATGTCTTCAACAGCGTAGCCAGTGCAGCCTCAGGATTTCTAGTCTACCTGATTTTACCAGCTAACAAAATATCTGCTGCCTACTCTTTCCTAAACCTGTTGGTGTACCACAAGCTTTTATTCAAACCCATCACCCCAAGATTTTGACGGCCTTCTTCCATAAAACTTTCCCCATGAGGCTCTGCACCTCACTAACATCTATTCCCTTCACTTCAGGGCAAATCTGTGTATTTCACCTTTCTTCAGGCACAACTGGATCTTTAATTTTCAGTGCCAGTGTTTTACAGCATTAAATCTCCATCCAGTTCTACTATTTTTTTTGTCCCATTAACAGCATTCTCCATTCAAACAGCTCTACATTAAAGGCTGTAGGTATTTCTTGAAGCAGTTCTCTCCCTTAATACTTCGGGTACCTTTTTTCTTTAGCTCTGTTCTCCTAAGATCGTTCATCTCATTTTTAAATTGTACATATATATGAAGAACCAGTGCTCACATTTGTACATGCTCTAATTTTCACACTTGCATAAAAGCATAGCTAGACTGCAGAGCTTGGCATAGGCAACAACATGCTAGAAATCCAGAGATATACAACTTTTATTCAATTTGTAGAGTCTATGTCTGATATTCAGATTTGAAGGGGGGGCGGTGGTGTGGTGGTAATGAAAACACCACCACCACCACCTTTTAGTTCACAAACTCACTTGAGATAGAAAGCTACAACACATTTTCATACCTGCAGAGTCCGAAGCTTCCCTGAACCACTGAAGGAAAACTTTCTGTATCATTATAGACCACACGCTTCTGGAAAAAGATACCTATTGTTTTTGCCTATGAGGTTCTTTTTAAAACGGCACAGTACATACCTTAGACATGTTAAAAGGCTTAGTATTTGTAAAGTTCTTGGCAATCCTCAAGTGGAACATGCCTTTCAAATAAACTACTGGAATGTGGGACAAAAGTCTGCTGTATTTTAGAAAACCTCAGAACATTGTGTTTGTTACCAGCATTATTTTAGTACAGGCTCCTGTTATTCACTATTATTCCGCTGTCTCTCCTGCTATTTTTAGCAGAGCTAGCCTTGATAACCAACCTTTAACAGTACTTTCTCCTCCAGCCAGAGAGTAAAATCCTCCAGTGGAGATTTTTGTTGACTTCCAAACAACTAATACGTAGATCGGATAGCAAGAATGCTCTTTAGCAATGTCCCTCACTACGACAAGCTGACTAACTGCTTTCAAAGAAGTGCCAAAGCAGCTTCGAAACAGACATCACACACATTAACAACTAAATGCCAATGAAGTTGAGACTGTGTGGATCTCTGTTTCAGGAGAGCAGGCATCCCACTTTTTTCAAGACAGACAAGTGGGTCAGTTGTTCTTGTCAACTTCTAATTTCTTAACAGCCAGGGAACTCAACTTTCTGCTTGCCAAACCATAAGTGCATAAATGTCAATTAATGATACAGTACACTGACAAAGAGGCCTTTTATTTTACCAATTCATTGGTTTAGTCTATAGAAAGTTATAAAAATGTGTGAGGACAGACAGCTGCTGTATACAATACATTTAAAGAAGTCTATCGCAATGCCAAAGTGAATACTCTGAGGAAAAGCACCAAAAGTAATCCAGTCCAAAGCTTATTTTCAGCTATTTTATTAATACATACTCAATAAGCCTTAACAGTTAAGATTTTGGGTTTTTTTCTGCAATTCCCATCAGAAACTGGATAGAAGACAACTTTAAACAGACATGCTTATCTAAGTCACACACTTAAGAGCAGTACTGAGAACATTACCTGTAATTTATCAGGTTTGAAGACAGTTAACTGACTTCAATGCCTTTAATTGCTGGATTCACCACAGTGCGTTTTGGAACGGTTCTTGTATAAAACCAGGGTGTTGAAATAACAGGTATTTTCTCTACCAACTTTTGTGACTAATTTTTGTTGATGTAATGAATTAGAACCTAAGAATATTCCCAGTCTTTTTCTGACTAAACAGACAGCTATTGTGTTTAAGTCAGTCTTCTCACAGACTCTACAGCTGTATGGCAAAACGAGAAAGCATACAGCTTTTATTGGAAGGAATATAAAGTATCAATTCAAATTGAAAAAACAAACAGTGATCTGGACTATTGCTGCTTAACAAAACAAGAGCTCAATAGATCCCTTATAAAACCAACATTCTTCCTGCTTAAACACCCAAATATCAACATTAGCTACAAGCTTGATGAGAATGAATAAAACAAACCCCACCAACTTTCCTGAGCTACACTAGCAACTTCAAGTATTTTTCTTTTCATGCTGCGCTGAGTATATTATCGGGTTCTCTTGAACTCTAAATCGAGAAAAGTTATCTTTTTTTCTTCTATAAAATACTGCCAGCATATGCTATTCATGATGGCAAAATAACAGTTTCAAAAAAGTAAAATTCAATTAGCATGTTAAGATCTTACCAAATTCACAGATTCTGAAAGCAATGTTTTCTCTGTCTTGCAAAGCAATAAATACTTTGTTGCATGGAATTGATTACAGTCCCAGTCTCCTGTATTTTTAAGGGGGAGGGCTAGACAGTGTTTGCTTTTTAGTTGTTTTTTTTTTTTTTTTTGACATTTGACATTTCTTTGTAGTTGGTATCTGTGATCAGATATCTATGACACTGAGATATAAGAACCTACCAGCATTTTCAAAATAGAGAAAATATGTACTCTTGGATCAATGGTTATTACGCAACATATGTTTCTGCAGGAATTTCAGCCTTGCTGGCTGCTGCCACAGCAAGGTGTCAGCATAACATGCCTCAGCAGTTTTACCATCTGTTTAACAGACAGCATTTAGAAATGACACTGAAGTTATTTTCACTAATTCTCCCTTGCTTCCAAGGGTATTTTGAGTCAACTCTTCTCTAAAAAGGCCAGAGCAAAAGTGTCATCTGCTTCTCCATTTACAGCTTACACTTTTTATATAGAACCACAATCTTATAGATAGCTTCCTTAAAAGTAACTTTACAACATTCATGTATTACTCCACTGAATGTTTGCTACTTTGAGAACTTGTGCTAAAGAGTTCATTAAGAGAGCAATTTAAGATAGCTTTTTTTTTGCATGAGAGAATTCATTGTCACATACGTCACAGGCAGTCAAGAAGTTGTCCAATATAACGGAAGCATACTTAAGCACCACGTAACCAGAGAACAAGTCAAAAGTTAGTAGTGTGTATATTTGATTCATCAGGAATTTGAGTTCCTTTGGTTTTACAGACAGATCTGCCAAATAAACTACCTTATAAAAGGCAGGAATACTACATTTTATGAAAAGTCAAGAGCCAATCCAGATTTGGCCTCCTGTGTTAAACCAGCCAACACTCCAAAAAAATAAATTCAGAACATAGTACCCAATTTTAAATAGGCTCTACTATTTCAACAAGCCATTCCTGACATCAAGTCAGTGAACTTCACAGCAGTATAAAAACATTACACTTTCGCATCTCTTTGTGGCAGCTTTTGTGCCAAATCTTGCGACTTCAAACAAAGTCTGAAAAACAAACTCTTGTAGTAATAATTCCAGATGCACTTCTACCTTCACCAATTTATACTATAAAGCTTAAAACACTCAAAACCCGTAAAACTAACATACATTAAACTGCATGTATAATTTGCTCCCTGAAATGAGCAACCAGACAAACCAGGTATGACAGG